AGGGGATTTACTATAGGTTACAGGGCAATGAGAGGGAGACAATCTAGGGATATATACGCAATAGGAAGAAGAGGGATTTGGAGCACACATGTGACAAGATGGGCGGATCCTAGATTCAGGAAGGCAGCCTAACTTTGGATGTCACTGAGCAGGTTTGACCTGTTCTCTGGCTCACTACAGAAACCATTATCAGTATGGTGTAAACCTCATCTATGGGGACCAGACTGATGGCCTTTAGGAAGAAGTAGCCCATTGTCCTTAACAGCAGGGAGTGGGACCGGACAGTTGTCTGACAACTGACTGCATCTGAACTCCCACCATATGCTGGCAAACAACCTCTAATGTTTGGCATGTCTTTGGGGGAAAGTCTCTATAATCCCACAGCCTTCCTCTTGGAACCTTACTACGTCCTTTTCCGGTTCCTTGTTGTAAAAAGAAGAACCTTACCATCCTGTCCTGTGGCGTGAGAATCTTGTTCAGATCTGAAACCTCCAGAAGCACTCGTCTAGGTAACTCGGGTTTGGGAAAGGCCTGGAAGTGCGCTCAGCATGTTTCCGTGCATCCCTGTGCTGGAAGGGAGGAGATGGGTTGTGGTCAGGGTTGGAATTTCTCAGAGGTGGCCTTCCAGGAAGTCCAGCCCCAGAGGCAGGAGGAAGGGCGGATTTTAGAAGACAATAGCCACGGAAATAAGGAAAAATAAAAAAGGCTATTATCCCTGGGTGGAGCAAATGGTTTGCACCTGACTATTAACCTAAAGGTTGGTGGTTCCAAGAAGCCCTAGCAACTTGCTCTGTAGAGAACACAGTGCTACCTACTTAGTAACACACAGGGTCACTGAGTCAGAGTTGACTTTCAGGGTTAGCATCAAGAACTTGAAGCTTAAGAAGAGCTTTCAAGAGGGCAGCAGTGCATATAAAAGGGAATCGGAAAGGAAGTAGTCTGTTTGACCCCATGTTTAAAGGGACTCTTTTTAAAGTCTATGCTTATGAAGCAGAGGGGAAGAATCTATTTAATGAAATTTTAACATTTTAAAATTTATAGTTATTCCTGCTTTTCCCCCCTTTTTCAAGAATGTATCTCGGGTTGCAAAGAGTTAAATACACATTATTTTTCTAATACATAGTGGGAACATCCAATTTGTGGTATATTGTAAGCTTATTTTATAATGCTCTTATCTGGGCTTTCTTGGGAGGAGACCAAACTGGCTAGATTCAAATGACTGAAGAGTTTCATAACTATTGTTTTTTAGAAATTGGAGAAAACTTACAGCCCAAGGGAGAAAAAGCTACCCCCTTAAGCCAGCCCCAAAGAACTCTTATTGATTAGCCCTTTAGGGAATTTGTCAACAGGCAGCCTTTCTCTGCTCCAATTGACTTTCAGCAAAGCTGAACACTTCACTGTGAGGAGGAGATCGGAAGTGAAAGCTATGTATTCATCAGGGTTTTCAAAATCTTATTTTTTCTTCCTTGCTTGCAATTCCTGATTACACAATTAAGTAGATGTTCCAAGCTCCTGCCAATTTTAGTTCATCAGCATTTTCTGGAAGCAGCCTAAAGTTCTGTGTATTTAGACAGCCTTCATTTTTGCCAATCCAACTAACTTAAAAGAACTCAGGGAGATTCACTCTCACTTCATCGTCTGATTGAGACGATGGCTGTAACATGAGTCTTTTGAACTTTGATTTCATTCCTCTGCAGAGTTGAGGGTGATCTTCCTTCAGTGATCAGCAGCATTCCTATGTGCACTGGCTTACATTGCCCACGAAAAGGAAGCCAGAGTCTAATTCCCTGCATAAAGCATTGTTGTCATTGTTTATCCATTCTAAAGACCAAGCATGATCTATTAATAAAACTACGGAATATTTGTGTGGTTTTACTCCCTTTAATTGCTGCAGACATGCGGATTTAGAAGTCCTTGTCTAATTGGAGATGTTGTCTCCCAGGAGCACACAGGTTTGCCATGTATCTATCACAGGCCAGTGGCACAAGTACATGCCATATTCTGAGCCCTAGGGTATTCTACTAGATATATTTTCAGGGCATAATCCTAGAGTTGAAGGATTTTTAATGCTTTTTTATATTTCTACCATCTGGAATGGGCATGTATGCATCTTGAACCCTTGGGCAAAAGAAGGACCAACCTCTCTGATCTGTACATATAGGTAAGATCCGAATCTTCGCAGAGGTCTACCATTTCTGGTTGCGTATTTTCAGCCACAAAATCAAAAGACCAGATGTTAGATTTGCAAACACTGATCATAAATTATTTGTAGGCAGATCACATTTAAAATTAGATATACATGCCTCTTTCTAGGTAGCTGTTCATAACGTGCTGTTTTTAATAGATACTCAGGACTCAGGAAACCCTCAGAAGACCAGAGGCGTGGGAATAGGATTCTCTCTGCTAGGTTGGTGGTGCAGAGCAGCAGTATGGTGTGTGTCTTAAGCTTTTGAGATGCAACAGAAGCCACTTAGGGACAGAAGCGAGAAAGCAGGGACACCTCGAAGGAAGGGTTTTATCCCCAAGCAGAGAGAAAACCTTTCTCTAGAGCTGGCACTCAAAATTCAGGCTTCTAGTCTCTAAAACTCAAGAAAAATAACTTTCCGTGTATTAAAACCACCCACCCACGGTAATTCTGTTATAGCAGAACTAAGAAGCCAAACAGGCCTGGTGCTGGTAAAAGAAGTACAAGATCGGTTGTCCTCAAGAAGCTGACCCCAAAAGTGTATCTGCCAATCCAACTAACTTAAAAGAACTCAGGGAATCGGGCAATAGTCAGAATCAGTGGGTGAGGATCTTGCTGTTAAGCTAATGGATTGAGAAGTTTAGGAAGGCTCGGGTGGTTCTGGTAGGTCCTTGGTGTGCATGTAAGATGTGAACGGAAAGAGAAAAGGAATTCTAAGCAAAGGGAACAAATGTGAGATGGGAAAAGTGATAAGTGAAAAAAGACAAAGAACTGTGGGACATTAATGGGGTTTTGGATCAATCGGTGTTGTCTGAGTTGGAGATTCACTTTAGAAAGCAGTGAAAGGCAAGTCCTCAGAGTTAAGGAGCTTGGCCTTGATTTCATAAACAAGAGAGACTATGCTGAGCAAATAATCCAAGATGCAAGAATAATGTGGCATCAAGACAGAGCAAGACTCGTTAAATATGTGTGGTATCTGCATTTCACAACCTGGCTTTCTTCAAGTGAGGAGGACTTCAACTCAAAGATCCTCACAGCTGAACCAATAGAAACATCAAAGTTGCCCAAAATTTCATTTTACTTGGATCTACAATCAACAAATATGGAGACAGGAGTGAAGAAATCAAGCAATATATTGCAAGTTTGCTGCACAGACCTGTTTAAATTTTTAAAAGCAAAGATTGAGGACTAAGGTACATTAAATAGACCCAAGCTGTCTATTTTCAATAATCTCAAGTGCAAGGGAAAGCTGGGCAGTGAATAAAGCAGACCAAAGCAGGATTATACTTTGCAGATGTATTTGAATTGTAGAGCTGGGAACAATAATACCCGTGTGGATGAAGTACAACCGGAATGTTCCTTCAAAAAGAATGGTGAGCCCTCAACTCTCTCCCATTGGACATGTTATCAGGAGGGATCGATCCCGGGAGAAAAGCATTATTCTTGTCTTAGTTATTTAGTGCTGCCATGACAGAAATACCACAAGGAGATGGCTTTAACAAGCGCATATTTATATTGCACATTTAGGAAATTAGAAGTCAGAATTCAGGGGACAGGCTCTAGGAGAAGGTCCTTGTCTCATTTCAACAACAGTGTTCCTTATAAAACTCCTTATGCCTTCCCCTGAGTCTAGGAGGTTTTCAGTGCAGGCTTCTGGAGTCTAAAGAAGTGTTCTCCCAGTTCTTCTCCAGGGATATTAGTGAGACCCTTCCCACTATCATCATGCCTTTCTCCTTTGACCCCTTGTGAGATGAGAAGTATGACTCAGGAAAGAGTGTGACTTGAGTAAGGTAGGACCGTGAGTCATGCCCTCCTATACGGTGGTGACTCAAGATACACCCCACATTGGCCCTGCCTCATTAACATATACATAGAGGTGAGGGTTTGTATACAACGTACCAGGAAATGGAGGATAATGATATCAGATCATAAAATGGAGAGTCACAGTACTGGAAATTATGACCTAGCTAAGTTGACAGGTATATTGCGTGGGCTACCAGGAGTGGGAGGTGGGGGTGGGGGAGGAACGACACAATTCAGTCCATGACATTTAGTAAAGCAGAGGGTCAAAAAAGAGACGACCCTCAACAGGATGAATTGGCAAACATCAACCACAGAGGCTCAAGCATCAGCAATTGTGAGGATGGCGAAGGACCAAGCAGTGCTTCATTCGGTTGTGCACAGGGTCACTATGAGCTGGAATCTACGGTGATCGCCCCTAACAAAACAGAACCCAAACCTTGAAGCCCGAAGTGTTAGTCTGGGAAATATGTGGGAAACCTACCTGTGATACACTTCTAGGTGTTAAGCCCTTTGAGGGATCATCTTGTATCTTATAGAATGAGGCAGTGCAAAGAATGAAATGAAGCTAGAAATCCTTGGTATCTCAAGAAAGTGGCCAAAAATCGACATACTCCCCCATATCACTTGATGTTGAGGCTTACCTCTTGGTAATGATTCTCTGAACTGTTTTATTTCCAATGCTTTTGGACTCTCCGTGCCATTACAGCTGTTGAAAACAAAAAGCGAAACTCCACTAAGTATTGTAATGCTAAACCATTTAACTTTGTAACCATTTTCCCAAACCACTAGACTAGAAAATAAATAAGCACCTCATAAGCATGAGACCATCGACAGCCTGTGCTGTATTCCTCTTATTATCTTTAAGATCCTGAAGGAAATGTGCAGGTAGTTCTGTCCAGGGACAACAAATTACTGTAACTCGATGGCCTTGTTTAAAACTGAAATGTCTTCTTGGTATTGGGCCCTTCAACTAAGTGGAACACAGTCACCAATGATCGGTCTCCCCCCTCAGGTGGCTCCGGTGATAAAAGCCAGAATGATGGAGTACGGGACCACAATGGTCAGCTACCAGCCCTTAGGGGACAAAGTCAACTTCTTCCGCATGGTGATCTCAAACCCCGCAGCGACTCATCAAGACATTGACTTCCTGATTGAAGAAATAGAACGCCTTGGACAAGATTTATAATAACATACACTCACTAAGCTGTTTTAATTCTCTAGGTAGACAATTAAGTTGTCACAAACTGTGTGAATGTATTTGTAGTTTGTTCCAGAGTAAATCTATTTCTATATTGTGGTGTCAAAGTAGAGTTTAAAAATCAAAAAACATTGCTCCTTTAAAAAATCCTTTCTTAAGTGTAGAATCCCTCTCTAGTACTTAGTGACAAAAGGCTGTGTGTGTTCTGATCATTTAGGGAAAGCTTCACATTGTTACAGATACGTCCCTTACTTTGAGTGTAGTGTGCAAATCAAACTTTATTTTCACATCCAAGTAGGATTGAATGGTATCAAATTATCCCCTGAATCATAAGTGGTTCTTTGGGGGGGGGGGGGGTACAGTGAAAAGGATAAAGTAAATATAAAATGTATATTGACAAATAAGAACTCTTGCCTTTTTCATAGTATTAGAAAAAAATTCTAATTTACCTATAGCAACATTTCAAGTGTATTTAAATACATATAATTTTACAAGCGGAAAATATATATATTAAAAAAGAAATCCTATTTTGTAACATATAGATTTTTATTTTATATGGGTTATACAAACTGCAGGGGCAGATATAAAAACTAAGCCAGATTTTATTTTATTTTTGTTTAATGGAAGCACGATAAAACAGTTATTTTGAAACATAGATAGGCCCACAAAATTATGAAAAGATGTGAAGCCTTCTTTCTGTGCATGTTATGAGTTATCACACCTCCTACGGGGGTATCTCAAAAGACACACACAAGAATACGAGAAGCTCTCAAAATGGTTGGTCAGTTCAGTTATAATCAGTAATAAGATTCTCTTCCCATTGAAACTGTCCACCCTGTGGACTCTTAGCAGACCTACCAGTAAGTGTAACACGCAAAAGTACCTCTTAGATTACATTAGGGTGAGCGTCTCTGGTCTGCTTTCCAACCTGTCCTCTTTTCAACAGAAAGTTGATGCTGACTCTTGATTCATCTTCCTAAACAATATTCTTTTTATTAGGTAATGAAATCTAATCAGCCAGAGTAAAGAGAAAAGAAGCAGGCTACGGGAATGTGGGGAGCCCAGAAAATTAAACTTGACCTCAGGAGGCAGGACCCCTGTTTGAGAATGACATCATTCCCTCCCCTCCCCATTCTGACCCCAAAAAGTCTCTCCTGCCTGGCTCCCTATGGCTGGGGATACAAATAATGAACTGCGATTCCATGGGTGTGTTTTCCTCCCGTGAAATGAGCTCCTTTGGCTTGGCAAATCATCTTAAGACCGTCTTTTTATCTGTTACCCTTTAAGATCCAAAGTGACCAGAATCTGCAGAGATAACCAGATCCTTAGAACTCAAAATAACATTGAAAAGTCTCCTCCCTCACCACCCCCACCCACACTGGCAACGTCGGCAGTGAGACATTAGCTAGCAAAGCACATCAACTGCCCTCAGATCCGTTCTGGCTCATAGAGCCCTTCTAGGGCAAAGTAGAACTAAACCTTTATGGGAGCAGACAGCCCCATCTTTATCAGATGCCAATTCTAGTGGGAAGACTACATATTCAGATACACAGACCCAAATTATGAATTTAGAAATGTCTTTCCTTAGTCAAACAGACCCACAAATAAAGGAAAAGGACTTTGTTCTTCAACAGGTAGACAACCTAGGGGATGTTCAGATCCACAGAATCCAACCATCTGAAATCATCATGAGCGTTCTCCTAGATTATTTCTCCCAAATCATATACAAAATCTTCCTTTTGGGACCAATTGAAATGCACATGGCTCCAGGCTTTTCCTGTCTAGAGAGCAAATACTCAGAGACTCCCTAGGATGGTGAGAAGAAAACTATTTGTATCCCGGAATCTCACAAAGGAACAATTCGAGGATTTGTGGAATATCCAAGTAGCTCTTCCCTTTCTAGAAACTTCTAAAAATTGGCTGTTAAGAACAAACCACCCGTCTGTCTTGAGACTTGGGCCAATAGTCCCACTTCTAAGGCAGAGACAGGCATTAAGCACATCCACTCCCCTGCTGGAAAACCAGAGGGGGGGGACCCAGTTCCCTTGATTAAGACCAACCATTCTCTATTCTAAGAGGCTTACCAGCTGGGATATGGATTCTTTTTAACTTGGTAGTGTGGAAGAGTGTGCAAGAAGTTTTGATGCCTATGGATGAAATATCAATAGACTATGTTCTCCCAAATGGTTGTTTTTCCCCATTGTCTGCCCTGTCGAGTCCTTCCCGAGTCTGCCGGGAGCTTTGCTCAGTCCTGTACAACGAAATCCCGACCAACCGGGGAAGGAGGCGAAAGAAACGCCTAATCGTCACCAAGACTTTGATAGATATCCCTTAAGAAGCTGTAACCCACTCCGAAGGAAGTAAGGGAAAAAGAGAAGGAGAAAGGGAAGGAGGTGAAGAAGGGAAGGAGGGATGAAGCAAGGCAGGGTTATCTTGAACATGACCCAAATTCCCAGTGCCAAGGGCCTTTATATAGGGCCAGTCTTTGCAACTTTTAGAAACTTTTGGTTTTGCTTTAACCCAATTTAACTTGGCTATTTTCATTTACACAGTAGTATTGTATTCATTACTTTCTTTAAATACTTGAAACAGAAGTACAGGATGTCTATTTTATCTGAGATGTGGGTGGCACTGACTTCGTGTCATGTCACAAGCATGCGAGGGAAGCAAAACTCCATGTGTCTGTGACTGCTGCCTTCATCACATTGGTCGTATGTCTCGTCCCGCAGATTGGGGTTGTGCACTTTAGGTCTGAACTGTACAGTGTTGCAAGTCAACATGTGTTGCTGTAAAAGCTTGTGCAGTATCTTACTGGTATGTCTTTTCCTGTGTGGTAGCTATACTGAATTTGATATCATGAGAACAGCATTCGCCTACTCTCTCTATTAACTGGGCGCCCTCACATCAGCTCTAATAGAGTACCTGCCCTTGGCGCTCCCAGCCAGAGACATCTCCTTGGAGAGCTGTGTGGCTGAACCAGAACGCAAGTTGGAAACCCAACTTCACCTCTGAGGGTGGAGGCAAGCCATTAGGAAGGTCACGGGCTGCCACGGGGCAGGTGTGACGCGCTGCTGGGCCTGAGAGCAGCTGCTCCATCCTCCAAATATGGACATGGAGAACCAGGGTGTAAATACAGCAGCAGAGCGAGTAACCAAGGACCCCCCAACTGGGAATCAACTTGCACGTGCTCGTCTGTTTTCAAATGCTAAGTGCAAACACTGTGTATTTATTTATTGACTTGTGTGCGCCAAAATACTGTTCCCAATTGGTGTTTCTGAAAGATGTCAACAATACCCCAACATTACGTCATGACTGAAGACAGAAAATAAATAAATAAAAATAAATAAAAGAAAAATTACAAATGCGTGGCAACAGGTTCTTCCAAATATAAACTTGTGTATAGTCCAAGTGTTTTATCTGTGTTGTCTCTCTAAAGCAGAATAAATGTGGACATGTGGACATGCCTCCGGTGTTCGATTCTCATTTCTGACTTCACGGTGTTGGGGGGATCTTGTGAGGGCCTCTTCCAATTCCCCTGCTTGTCACCACTCTCAGGGTGGCTTTGGGTTTTTTGTTGGGGGAAAACAATCTTACCTCTGCAGTCGCCCTCTCCTGCAGCTTCTGAAGACTGTGGATTGATGCCCACAGTTGTTCCTTCAGTTAACCCTCATCTTTTCGTTTGTTTCTTGTTCATATTATCTTGTGGAAATGTTTGTTCATGTCCTTGTGAATGTTAAGAAATGCCACAATGAACTCATGTGCCCTTCACGCAGTTTCAGCAGTTAGGAACTCGGGGCTCATTTTGCATCTTCCATGGCCCCGCCTCCTTCTCTCCCCAAGCCCAAGATATGAGATAAACTATATACCACCCCCTGCCCAAAAAAAAATGAAAAAAATTTTTTCAAACTACGTATTCATATTTTTTTTTAAAAATCAACTTTGTCATCTTCAAAGTACTCTCTACTGCTCTTAATACATTTGCCAAATCTGTGATTCCATCCTTGGAAACATTTTTCAAACTCATCTGTTTGGATGGCTGAGGGCACGTCCCTTGATTTTTTTCTTCACCATTTCTACATCATCAGATCGCTGTCCTCTTCATTCACGGAAACAAAAAGAAGTCACATGGAGCGAGGTCAGGTAAGTAAGGTGTGTGGGGCAAGAGGGTCATGCTGTTTTTTTTGCCAAAACCTGGTACACTGAGAAGCTGCATGAGCAGGTGCATTGTCGTGGTGGCAAAACCAGTCTCCCGTCTGCCACATTTCAGGCCTTTTCTGTCTCATACTGTTAAACAATATTTTCAGAACCTCTAAATAGAAAGCTTGATAAACAGGCTGACCTAGTGGAATGAACTCTAAATGCACTACAAGTCGTCATTTGTGTCCACTTGGGAAGTTGAAGGACGTCCAGAGAGGTTTGTCATCAATTGACATTTCACCTTTTTGAAACAAGAAAACTGCTCCTACACTTGAGCTTTTCCCCATATCACTGTCCTTTTAAGCTGTGTTCAACATCACAACAGTTTTGTGATGCCAATGGGTGCACTAACTCAGAGCGAGTTGCTCAATGTTCGCCTAGCAGGGGGAAAATTCACACTTTTAAAGCTCAACACAATTCCAGTTTAGGGAAGGTACCCCTATATCTAGAGAGATCTGTATTGATTATATATATATATAGGTATATATGCTTTTCAATAGTGTTACCACAGTGGAAACAACAATAATATTACCATAATATCATCATCGAATAGCCAGTCAATGTTCTCATTTCATTGATTGCCAATTCCACAGAAAAGTCATGGTTCATGGCCCAACATAACCCAGAAAACCTAGTGATTAAATTATTTTCCCAAAAAAAGGTATGTAGCAATGCTAATCCTGTGGACCTGTGCACAAGAAACTGTTTGGAAACAGGGTCTTTGATGAATATGCCACCATTGAGTTAACATGAGGTCACAGTAGCCTCGCCACAGCAGGAAGAGGAGATGTTGAGCCGAGTAGTGCAGTAGCATTCCTGACTTTTCTCACATTATCTCATCAGCCTGGAGAGAATTCCCGTCCTCCTCAGTACATGAAACAACACAGCATGCCTGTGGGGGGCGCAGGCTCCCGGGCCAGATTCATTGTTAGTTGGTTCTGACCAACGTTACTTGGATTCATGTCAGACTCCGTCACTGACCATCTATTTTGCCTTCAGCATGTCTTTCAGTCTTCCTGAGTTACGACAGTAACCTTCCTGAGCGTTCTGTGTGGATCACTATATATCGAGGCCTGCTAGCATTTAGCACTGCGTTTGGCACCCAGTGTGTGCTAAGTCTTGTCTTTGTAGTACTGAAGGTAGTTATATATGGATTGTATAATTCAGCTCATGTCACCTCCTCTGCGACACCTTCCTAAACACTGACCTTCCTCTGAATGTCCTGACTATTGAGTCTGGGTAATTGGTGCCTCCTGGGCACTACCTAACGTGTGCAGGCTGGAACTGTTGTCCGGGAAGTTTTCTCCGGCGCGCCCAGCAAAGATGAGGAGCCTCCTTCTTACCGCCCTCTTTCCTAGCCTCCTTCCTACGGCTTCCACATCCCAGCCCCACGATGCGCCCTCTTCTATAGGAGCAGAAGGCACACCATCATACCTTTCATGCGCCCATTGCGTGACGTTGGTCAATACCATTAACATCCCTCAGCCTCAGTTTCTTCAGTTGAGAAATGAGTGGGTGGAACCAGTTGATCTCTAGGGAAGAAATTAGGGAGAACCTGATTTAAGACAACACATTTTCAAATCTGGAAGAGCCCTTAGATACAGTAATTTCTGCTAACTTTTATTTAGGGCCGACCATGTCTGTCATATGGTTTTATATATTCATTCAACTCTGTTATTTTATAGATTCGATGGGAAAATTAGTTAATACAAATGACAAAGCCTTAGTATATTCCTCTAGTACCCCTTCCTGCCTGACGCCTTCTCAGACCACGCAACCAGTATCAATCTTGTCATCCTCAATCACATTGTGTTTTCTCCACAGCGATTTTTTTCATCATTTATTTTTCACACACTTCAAAATACCATAGTGAGCGATGACAACCCTAACAAATGGCTATTCAAATCTGTGATTAAGTTGAGTATTGTCTCAGACTCTAGTCTGAGTTGTTAGTGTAGGAAACCCCAAATGCATGCACAGGCACCAGAAGAGCAGCTTGTCCCTTTATAACACCCTTCTACTGGACAAGCATGGGAAAATGGAATTAAAAGATAGTGATGTTTCCCTGCCAACTTTTCAAAGCTCCTTTGTACAGTGACTACAGGTTTACTTGCAGCACCCCTTTCTCGGATCACCACACCTGATGAGAGCTTGGAATGTGATATTTCGTAATTCTCATTCTAACTCAAGTTTCTTATGTATTGCTTCTATGAAGCCATTGAGTTGATTCGAACTCATAGCAACCCTGTAACTTGTTATAAGAGTAGAAAGCCTCATCTTTCTCCTGAGGAGCAGCTGGTGGTTTTGAACTGCTAA